AACTGGACATGGCACTCAGTGCTCTGCTCTGGTTGATGAGGTGGGGATGGGTCACAGGTTGGAATTGTTGATCCCAGAGGTCTTTTCCAGCCTCAGTGACTCTGTGACCAGGAAGGAATTTTGTTCCCAGTGGGCCTCCCTCACTCCCTGAACTCTCTCCTCTCCCCTCAGTGTTTTATAGATTCCTCCTGCCAGGCTGGAGGACTTGAAACTGCTTTATGGCCTGAGCTTTGTGTTTCATGCCTGTTTTGCTGTGCCTGGTGCTGGGAGTTATTGCCAGTCCTTAAGTAATTTCATAAACACTCCGGAGTTTATGATGAGGAGAGGTATGGAGAGACCTTTAACGACCTCATTAACTTCACACAGCTCTGAACATTTCCCCAGCAAAGCCAAACAAACCCTTCAAGCAGGAACCAAAGTCCCCCCAGGAGCAGCTCCAGCAGCATTTGTGAGCTCAGCTCAGTTCCAGGGATCTGTGCCTGTTTCCTGTGACTCACGAGGGAAGGGAGCAGCAGTGAAATGAAGTGAGGCAGCACAAGGAGCTGCAGCTCTGCTGCCACATTCCTCCCCAGGGCTGAGCAAAGACACTGCAGCCAGTGGAAAACAGATCAGAGAGCACTGGGGGAGGCAGGAGCATCTCCTCATGGCACACAGAGGCTGCAGAACGGTGACAACTCTCGTCTCTGGCCCTGGAAGGAGCCCAGGAAGGGATGAGAACTAAAGCTCTTCCTTATCCAGACTGGGAAACAAGCAGGAGCTTTAACTGCAACCCGAGCCCGAAGTGGAAGGGTTGTTTCTGCCTTCCAGGCACCCAAAAGAATAGGAATTACAGCTGTCCAGGGCATAGGGAATGGATATGTGCAGCCAAACGGTGTAACCATCTTTTCACCACACTCTCCCACCAGCAAGTGGCCAAGAGCTCATTAAGAGAAGCACCCCAGCCTGCCTGACCTGCTGAGGTGAGAGGGAATCTCATTAGGGGATGATTATCTCTAAGCCATTTATCCAGGGTTTTACCTCCCAAGAAGCCTCAGACCTATTTCAGGCTCTGAGCAGTCACGACACAAGGGCAGGACACGAGTGGCACATGAATCACAAACTGCACTGATGACTAAGCCACACACAAAGCAAAATCACCTGCAGAGACTTTGCCTCACTTGTTATTGTCTCCCAAAGTTCTTAAGAGAAGCAAAGGACCCTTCAAACCTCTCTCAGAGCTCCAGGAAAGGAGCACTGTGATCCCTCTGCAGCCAGAGGAGAAGGGAAGTTGGGCCAATTCTGGTCACCTCTCCCACTCCCTCAGCTGGGCCTGCTTGAACCTCCTGCCCCAAACAGCACTTGGATCATCTGCAGCTTGAGGCTGCCTCGAGGAACAGGCTGGAATGCTTGGAAGAAGGCTTTGCTGGAAGGATGGGGAGGAGAAATGAGCTCTGAGCTCCAGGTGCTTACCAGAAAGGGTAAATGCCCAAGCGTGTCACGATGAACACGACCCCGAAGAGCATGAAGAAAGCATCACACAGACGTTGGTACTTGGCATAATTGGCCAGTTTTGCAGCCTAAAAAGAGACAAGAAACATGAGGATAAGATTCCCTTTGGGCACTCCTGGAATTCCCAGGCTGGGGAGCTTCAAAGAGCTCTCAGTCACGTTTGTTGCTCGGAACAATTAGGGATCATTATGTTGTGTTAATTTTGTGATTTATTGTGTGTGATCCTACAAGAAAGATGGAGAGAGACTATTCCCAGGGGCCTGGAGGGACAGGACAAGGGTCAGAGGACAGGGTTAGATGGGATATTGAGCAGGAATTCCTCCCTGGGAGGGTGCTGAGGCACTGGAATGGATTTCCCAGAGGATGCTCCATCCCTGGGAGCGTTCCAGGCCAGGCTGGATGGGGATGGAGCACCCTGGGCTGGTGGAAGGTGTCCCTGGCCATGGCAGGGAAGGGACAGGAGCTTTAAGGTCCTTCCAACCCAACCCATTCCCTGAGTCTGTGATTCTCAGCCCTGGGGCAAGTCAGGAGGACAAGGTGACAAGGCAGGAGCAGCAGCACAAGTTTTATGGCACACAGTTTGGCAAGAATGGGAACATCAGTTTGCTCCCCTGGGAACAAAGCAGCGTTAGGGGACGCAAAGATTTGAAAGGAAATTCACCTCTAAGAGGAAATCTGAAGCATCATGGAGACACAGCACCAGAGTCCCAACCCTCACCATGTTATTCATGTAAGAGAACGTGATGAGTCCAATCGTGGCCAAGTGATGGACAAACATGATCAGGAAGTCCTGGAAACAGGGAAAGACACGAATGAAGCCTCTTTGGCTGTCACACAGACACAAAGGTTTGGAGCAGAGCCACCAAAGTGACTAACAGGGAGCACAGGATCACTCCAGCTCAGGCTCTGACTCCACTGCACATGGAGCACAGCTCATCACACACCCACCAGCACCACCAGAGCTGCCACAGAGGCCTCTGAGGGCTGGAGCTCTTGGGAAGTCACAGCCCCTGTGCACACCCACGGCAGGTGAGGTCTGCAGCCCCCTCTGAAGTGATGCACAGGGCACATAGGGCCCTGAGTTTTGGCTCCTTTTGCTTTCCCAGTCACACTGCTCATCCCTTCAGCTCTTGGCACAGCTTTGAAGTGCTGTTCCTGCTCTCAGGGTGCAAATCCTGCCAAGGGCAGAGCAGGCTCAGAGCACTGAGAGAGCTCAGCAGCAGGAACGAGGTCTCTTCAGCACAGAAATGTTTGCCATTCCCAAGAGTCAGGGCTGGTTTCCAGCTCAGCCCCAGGTCCTTCCCTGTCCCTGCAGCAGAGGGGAGTGGAATCCACTGTGAAACTCAAAATCCAACCCCAGAAACCATAAACAGCACCCCAGAGGCTGCTCAGCCCTGCCTGCCTGCAGCTCCTGCCACTCTGCAGTGCCTCACCTGCTACTGCTTCAGCACAGCAAAAAACCCAAAAAAAAAAACCACCAAGGAAAACTGAAGTTTTTCTGCGAGAATTGGGATAATTTGCTGCTTTGCAGCTGATGTAAAGAAACAATAAGCCATGATTTACTGGGAACTGCTCTCCAACAGCAACAATCAGCCAAATGCTACCAGCACAGCACAACAGAATTAGAGCTGAGCAACTGTGACTACTCATCATCTGCTCCTCACACAGAGGAGAAATCACTCTCAAAACCCCATTGATTACTGCTTTGGTGGCTGCAAGGTTGAGCAGCTCATTTGCTTCCAATTCACTCTATTTTTAGGCAAGGACTTGTTAACTGTTAATTGGGAAGTGTTGAGTGATCCTGTTCTTCCCCTGGAAGGTGAAAGGGACTCAAGGATACACCAAGCTGCAGCTCAGGGTTGCTCCTCCCTGTTTCCCAGGACTGGGCAGTGATTCCAGGAGGAAAGAGGCCACACAGAGATGTGAATGAGGAGAAAAACACAGTTATCACCACAATTCCAGCCAGGCACGCTCCCAGTTTTGTTAGTCCTACCTCATTAGGGTCATTAGTGTTGTTTGTTATTAAGTGGTTAATGCAATTCTGGTTCTCCTCACCTTCCTTTTGATGTCTGTAAACTGAGAAAACATGAGGGACCAGTAGAAAGCCAACTCCAGGATATAGTAGTAATAAAGCCTGGATGTTAGGGGCTGGAAAAGAGAGACAGCACAGTTAAAAAGGCATTTCAACATCTACATTAAAATCCCCTTTGATTTCCATCCTTCCATCCTTCCCATCCCACTCTGCTGCTGAGGCACAAGTGAAAAGATTATACTGGTCAATACTGGGGCTGATGCTGTTCAACAGCTTG